ATTTCTTGATAGTGTACGACTTGAAATTGACTCTGTCTGAATTGAGTAGGGTTTCAATCATAGTTTTATGCGTGTGGAACTAAAGTTCAAGTTCTTTTCCTAATGGGTATAAGTGAATTGACCGAATTCTTGATAGTGTAGGACTTGAAACTGACTTTACCTGAATTGGGTGTTTGGGGTTTTAATCTCTTGTCTTATAATTGCGTGTGTGGGGTACTAAATTCCTTAATTGAAGGCACTAATAATGGATTGAGAGCCTCTTAAGGTGGAATGTATATACTTTGTAAACAAAACTTGTGTAGGTAGGGTATAGCAAGTTTTCGGACCGGTCAATCAAAAATAGTCAGCGTTTACCAAGTCAATGAAAAATAGCCACTATTTTGCTGCAATAGAGAACGGTCCAACATAATATACTGGAGTTCGGTGCACTTGTGTATGAACTCCAGCATATTATGCTGGACCGGTATACTTTGCTGGCTCCAGTATAATATACTGGAGACTGGAGCACCGGTGCTCCAAACTTCAGTATATTATACTGGACCAATATACTTGCTGGAACTCCAATATGTTATGATGGAGTTCTAGTGTACTTATGCTGGAACTCCATCATGTTATGCTGGAGTTCCAACATACTTATTCTGGAACTCCAGTATAATATGCTGGAGTTCAAGTATACTTATGCTGGAACTCCAGCATAATATACTGGAGTATTTTCCGGGTTTTGAACAGTGTTTTCGCTCAGATTTATCTTTATATAAAAAGTGGCTAAATTTTGATTACTTTTGAAATTGAGCTATTTTTGAACGAACAGTTATAAATCTGACTATTTTTAAAATTTACCCTAATTTACTAAACATAAACATTTAGGGTAATCAAGTTTCCAATAGTGTATAGGAATGAAAAAATTCCTTTACGTAAAAATCCCACGTATATTGGGCCACTCTAGTTAAGTAAATGAAGAAGCCCAAACTAAAGAGTTATCAAGCCCAAACCTATTTTACTTCAAAAACCCTAACCACACTCTTTCGCCTCTCGCACTCCCATTTTCAGCTCTCAATCAAGGCAAAATGCAGAAGCTAGAAGCAACAGCGGAATCAGTGCAATGCTTCGGGAGGAAGAAGACAGCAGTGGCGGTGACCCACTGCAAGCGCGGACGCGGTCTGATCAAGATCAACGGTGTCCCTATCGAGTTGGTCCAGCCCGAAATCCTTCGCTACAAGGCCTTTGAACCAATCCTTCTCTTGGGCCGTCACCGTTTCGCTGGTGTCGACATGCGTATTCGCGTCAAAGGCGGTGGTCACACTTCTCAGATCTACGCTATCCGTCAGTCCATTGCTAAAGCTCTGGTTGCTTTTTACCAGAAGTACGTTGATGAGCAGTCGAAGAAGGAAATTAAGGATATTTTGGTGAGGTACGATAGGACTTTGCTTGTTGCTGATCCTAGGCGCTGTGAGCCTAAGAAATTTGGAGGTCGTGGTGCTCGTGCTAGGTTCCAGAAATCCTACCGTTAATTTGATTTTCAAGCTTCAGTACTTTCATGCTTACCTCCTTTACGGTAATATTAAATTAATGTTTTGGAATAGTACTTTTTATGTTGTTTTAAGACAGCTTTTGTTGGGAGGTTACTGATTAATTTTGCATGTTTGAGTTAAGGCTTTACTGTTTTTGCTGAATATCTTACACTGCTTCTTATGATATCGTTAGTTGCGATTGCCTTATTAGCTTGGTGGATATCTTGTGATAAAGGTTTAATTGTTTAATTAGGATGGGTCTGCCTTTGCAAAACCTATGAAGCTTGTCATCCAGATATTGGGTAAGACAAGCTGTACAAAATTGGAAGTTAAATGTTCGAGCTACTAAGCTTGATCTCATTATTCATTTGACACTTTATATTTGGGTTCGATCTATTCAGATTCGTGTCTATTAATTACGTGTTTGACAGAAAAGAGATAAAATACAAAGTGCCTGATTTTTAGATGCAGTGAGACGCAACAATAAAAAAGAAAAAATGCAGTGAGAAACTGTCCCTTTCTTTTTCTTCTCTTTATTTTTTCCCCTTGTGAATGAATTCAGTTGCGGTAGCTGGAAGATTGACTCGGGGTTTGTGAGTGAAGTGGCTTTTTGAATGAATTTTAGTGGTGATGATGGGAAAGACTAAAGATTGCGTTGGGGTTTGAGAGGGGAAATAGTGCGAAGGGTACAGAGGTGTAAGTTCTTAGACGGGTATTTGCTTATTCTTTTTAGCATGTGCTAGCTAAAGGGTATCTGGATTGTTGTGAGTCCCATTGAATGAGAGCGGTTCACTCTGTCCTGCCTTTATGATTTTCAAATTATAAAACAAATTTTATGAGTTTAGACATTAACCATACATTCAATTTTGAAAAATTATCAAAAACCATTGTTCCCATCTCTTGAGATTGGATCTATGGAGGAAATTGTGATGGGGATGCGAGGATAAGGGTAGAGGAAGGATTGTGTATTAAAAGCACACATGGATACTAAAATTACGCTAGTGGTGAAGAGTATAAGAGAATGAGTTTGAAGAAATCAAAAAATTGTTGCAAACCTACATCGATAGACATGAAGTTATGTACCTTAATTGCACCCGTAGAATTGGTTGAAGTAAAGGATGTAATGGAAAATGTGATGGTAGAAAAGTTTAGGAACTAGATGGTCTTCCTTTAAGGTTTGAGAGTGCCATGGAGATGTTAGAAAAGCATGGGAAGTCAAGCTATATATTATCATAAATGCTACAAAAGTAAAAATAGGATTGAATGCATACACGTAAGCATCATAACCTGCTGCTCGGTAGGAGTCATAGACATTGATACATCTATTCTTAAAATGATACAACTGCCAAAATTCAATGAAGTTTCTCTTTCAGGTTAACTGGTATCAGAACATTGTCGATTGTATGCCATGATACATTAGCAAATAACCTATGACCCCTTATGCATTCGCCTACAACATCTTCTTCCTTGGCTACACTTGAATCATTACTTGTATCAACTTGTCGAAAATTTCAGCAATCCTTGTCTTGAATATACAGTCGTCAATGATGTATTTGAATGTGTTACTTTCGTCATACTTGCCTTTCTTCCTCAAGTAGTAAAATATGACGTCAACTGATGCTAAACTATTTATATTACAACATATTGATGTCATATTTTACTACTTGAGTAAGAAAGGCAAGTATGATTAAAGTAACATATTCAAGTACACCACTGTTGACCTTATATTCAAGATACGAAAATTTTTGACAAGTATGCTGATATAAGGAAGAAGATGTGTGCGAACACACAAGGAGCTACATGTTGCTAGCTAATGTATCATGGCATGCAGTCGACAATGTTCTGATACCTCTTAACCTGAAAGAGAAACTTCATTGGATTTCGGCAGTCGTATCATTTAAGGACAGATGTATATGACTCCTACGGAGTAGCAGGTCATGCTTATGTCAGTTCTGAGATAGATAAGCTTATACCTCTGTACCTATCCATCAGTGGTTTTTATAGAACAAGCAAGGTATAGATTAGTCCCAGGAACCAGAATACAGTGACAAGGCACAAATTGATGTAATGTTTTTTCCAAATGTGCCTCGACAACGATCTGGGAGCATGTATGCAATCAATTTTTTTTTTTTTTTTGGCTACTTTTGTAGCCATTTATAATAATATATAGGAAGATCGGAGATGTGCAAAGAAATCCTTCTGTATGTGCTTGATGGAAAACAATTTTAAATATGTAGAATAACTTCTTATACATGATTGAGATATCACAAGTTTAAGGCACAAAGTAACACCCATTAATCATGCGTTTATCTCAAGGATCCGCCGCAAGTTTGTATTCGTATGCGTTATAGATGTGCTGACCTATAGTATATGTGATTCGATTTCATATTTCATGCTAATTTCAAGTAATATTATATTAATCGACGAATCAACCTAATGTTAAAACTAGAAAGAAACCCTATAAGAAACTTGAAAAAAACAATCTTACTTTAGATTAACAGTTGTGAGAAGAATTTTGGTATGCAAGTCACATATAGTGCAGATATCTACGCTTAGTTTATAGGAAAATGATATGGTAAATATGAAATGAAGAAATGCTATGAGATGTTAGACGACTGCAAGTCATAGAAAATCACTATTAAGACCAATAATGTTACACGGTAGCGATAATTGGAACACAGAGAAAAGGAACGTGCCAACCATGACAATCTGTAGGCTTCTAAATACGCGATTACATTGGCAATTTGATGATTGAAGGTGTCAAAGAATGACTATTTTTCAATGATTTTTGAATCAACTATTTTTCAATTACAATTCCGAAAAATAACTTTCTTTTTTAACTCCACCAGTCTTGCCTACAACCCGAACGCTCAAGCGAGAGATGTATTTCCGCAGGCATAACATCACAAAGAGGGAAGATCCAAAAAAATAGACTTAGAACAAATGCAGTTAATAACGCAATAGAAGCAAATTGATCTGTATAACCAATGCCACCTAGCTAAACCAAAACCAAGATATCGATATAGAAGTGTGTAAGACGATGAAAAATAATCGGAACTGAGTTCAGATATACTGGAGTGGGGCGAAATGGATCGACACGTAGCTTATTGATTCATCGATCTAAATGTTTTTTTTGAGAAGGTAACATTTGTGTGTAACATCGATCTAAATGTTCAATTAAACTAAACAAAAAGTAACAATAAGAACTGAAAGCATCTTTCACGTCTCTGTAATGTAAGTAAGAGCTGAAATTCCAATACCAATGTCGTCCATTTGATGTAAACATCAAATGAATTCGAGGTTTTTTCCTCTTCCGAAAAACAGAGGGGGTTTAGAGGCTTTATCTCCCCCCATTAAGAACTTTACGAAAAATGATAACCAAATACAAAGATAACTTCATAAAGAAATTTTTTTCTCGAAAATTACGTTACCCCTTACCAATGATATCCTATATTCTAGTTTTGGTTACAACTAGAACACACATGAATATAATGACATTTATTTCTTGAGGCTGTTTTCCTGCGTACGATTACTCAGACCCAACAGATAATTTCAAAATGACCTTAGCAATGATGAGCCTTGTCAATAAAACAAAATGGCACCATATAAATTGGTACGACTTTGGGCAGTGAACAATACATAATTTTCGTCAACTTTCTTCTCGTGGTATAATCTGACGATGTGAAGTTGAAACACATACACACTAACAGAATGGCAGATATACGCATGTGATAACCAAGAAGGAAAAGAGAGAAGAGAACATGTTCTATGCAGGAGATAGAAATGGCTTCGTAGAGCTTGTTCCTTCCATCCCGAGGTCCAAGGGCCGCAAACATGGAGGAGAATAAGCATCTAGAGCCTTCCGGACATTTTCCTCCATCAACCCATCCTTCTTGTCAAGTTCATCATTTTTCTTTGCATCCTGATGACAAATACCATAACATCAGTTGAAAATCAAATAAACTCACAAGACATAACTTTTCCCAGAAACAAAGCAAGAGTTGCCTTTTGGACCAACAATTCTAGCGCCTAAAGTGCCGGTTAAATTTTGCTAGTTGATGGAGTGCATAAGACTTTGTACAAGGCCTTGGCAATTATAAGCATACGAAGAGCAATAACATCGAGTCAGTCTATATCCAAGCGACTCCTAGTCACATTCACCAGAGTGACATCCAACATTAAAATTGTGATAAGCGAAACAGCTTAGCCTTAGATGAATATGAGTGCATCTCCTTTTAGATAAGATTATCCTTTTCCATTCCTAGTTAAGCTTATCATGCAATATTAATAGGACAGATTATCATTTACACACACCCCTAGTGTTTGCCCCAATTGATCTTACCTCGTTATGCAATTTTTCGCTTAATCTATACAATCCAACTTGTTCCAAAATAAATAATGGCAAAAGAGGAAAATGCTGGAGATTTGAGCCTAGCTCTGTGTTAGCACTTCGAGGAACACCTAGTCCTCCTAAACAGTCAGACATACTTGGCTCAATTTCGAGGGTCAAGGGACATTTCTACTTCAAATAACAAATCTTTTCTTTTCAAAAAGGAAGCCCTCAAGGCTTTCGGGCAGATCGATTCAATGGAACATGTTTTCTTCAGACATCATCTTTCTATGTATTTTACCTTCTTTTGACGATTATATGATTTATTAGAAGAATAAAGCTCGAAGGAATATGTAGAAACTTTGAAAAATAAAAATCATTCACATTGATCCAGGGGTTTGTACGATTCGACCACTTAAAAGAGCTCTTATTTATTCCAAGGAAAAGGGCTGAAAAATCTCAGCAAATAAAAAGAGAACCTCGGGCGTTAGAAAAATCATTTTTTTGGTCGTGATCCACATCCTTAACTATACAACCTTTCCACAAATTCCAAGTGAGAGAGAGAGAGAGATGACATAAGATGCTAGAACGTATAGGTCACCGCTGACCCATAAATTCAAACGAATGTACCTTGCGGTGTGTTCTTTATGCGACTTTGCACTGCTTCGCTGGAGTTCTACTTTGGGAGGGGGATGAGGGGATGGGGAAGGTCTGGAAGGTATCAATGAACAGAGTAGTTACCTGAACTGAGACTTGGTTGAAAGTTGGAAGAAATCGAATCTTGCAATACTCGTTAAAGAGAATAGTGACGACCAAGAGAGGGATAACGGAGAAGGAAGCTGAAGGCTTTGCTTTCAGTCCAAAAAGACCAATCGTTGTGACTTGCATAAGTATGATTGCAACTATAATGTAGTGATGAATGTATGGCCAATATCGACCACATGTCTCGTATGTAGTTATATACACATTTTCAATCTGCATTGCAAAAAACATCACACAACTCATATTCCTCCATATTTATTCTAAAAAAATTGAGCTCGCCTTCAATAAAGAAGCACCAAATAAAGTGTATCAATAATATATTTTATTATCAACAGGATACTTAACCCTGATGATAATAATGTAGTTTAAGGGGTGCAAAAGAAGATGAATGTAATAACAGCTTATATTAAACTACGGAGTGAAACTTGCTGCAATCCCCTTAACAGAAGAAAACTAGTCACTTTAGGATAAGAACTATAGCCATTTCTCGAAATGAAAAAGAATGAGAGAACCAAACAGCGAATATCAAGGGCTATAATAGCATCAATAAGAAAAAGGAAAAATAAAATTATTTCGAAGAGTTTCAAAAGAAACCAAAAATGGCTTATCAAAAGTAGTCTATTTATAAAAAAAAATGAAAAAAGAACTTTCAAAAGTAAATCCCCAAAACAACAAAAGGTTGAGCTGCTTCGTAATTTTATACGTATCAGTGCTGCAGATGTACTATAGCAGCTAAAGCAGAATGATCTCCCAAAAATCCGAGGCAAAAGTACATACGAGCGCTTAAAACTTCATTAATCTAAAATATTATTTCAAATGATTGTAGATTTGCATCTCTGTGAATTCACCAACAGCTGTACAACGGCATATTATCCGGACAGACCGGAATGTTCAAAATTAAAAATCAAGAGATGACATTGGACAGAGGAAAATGGTATATAAGCTCATAATATTTTTGATAACAAGTATATAAAGTTCGTTGTTGGATGATTACTTTTCTTCTTCCTTTTTGGGTTAAGGCAATTTTTGACCAATTAAGGAAATTACTACTCAAAGCTATAAAGTACGTTGTTGGATGGTTACTTTTCTTATTCCTTTTCTCCTCCTTTTGGGTTAAGGCAATTTTTGACCAATTAAGGAAATTACTACTCAAAGCTAAGACAGGACGAACTATGATTACACAGGTGCAAAGTGATGTGGGTCAAGCTTATAAGCAGATTGTTCTTAACACACAAATATTACATGTAGAGAAACTTCACCTGGTTGATGAACACCACATATCCAAGCAGGAAGTAGCCTACCAGAAACGGAAGAAGCAAAGGAGAGACCACCGCATAAACAATCCCAATCAGCATACACAGCGCAACAAAAGGGATAATTCTATAATAAGGTAGTGAATAAACATAAGGATGTTTCTTCTTTCCATGGTCCCACGTGTAAGATTTTAGAGTATCCCATAGGAGTAATCCTGGCTGAAGTATCTCTAAAGAGAATCCTGCCAGCCCATTTGTCAAGATGTACGTCACGAAAAAATCTGCCTGAAAGAACAAAAAGGAAATATGCAAATGCAAAGATTAATCATCTACATGTCAAGTAGAATATATTGACTGTGATAGGCCCTATCAGTTCTTTATCAGACAAGTGATGTAAACATCAAAGGCTCCAGCTGAATGTTAGCAACTATCTGAAAACGTGCATGCACCAATCCCTCTTTTCTAATCAAATATTAAGTATCCTAACACAGGAGCAAAATACATATTAAATGAAAAGAGCAAAGCTAACATGTTTTGCACCTGAGCAGAGACAGCACTAGCAAGACGGTTGGGAATATCCTTGGGATGAAAGAAAGATTCGCCAATTTGATCTAGTAAAGATCCTGACAACAAGCTTAAAAAGAATACATTCCCTACCAGGAAGTAGAACACCATGTTGCATGCATTTATATCCTTCTTACTCCGCGAGATATAACCAGCTAATCTTGCCAGTCCGATCATGGCAAATGGAACAATGTATATGCAACCATTAAGAATGGCACTAGGAAGATATCCTGTGATGATGGACCTCAACTTCGGTCTGCCACAATATTTGGAAAAGATTGAAGATCAGCAACCTACTACACCATTTTTCAACCAAAAAACAACTGTAAATAGGAGGATTCAGTAACTACCCCTACTCCACCTCAAACCCCTCCCCACAAAGAGAAGAGATAAAAACCAAAAGGGGGAAAGAAACAATAATATATCTAATTTGAAAAGAAAGAGGAGAAGATAAACAATAAAGAATGAGCAACCTAAGAGCAAAGACAATCTTGTCCAGGACTGCATCATTGCGTCTTCTGATCCTCAGCCAATGTACAGAAGAACTTCAATGTGAATCGAGTTACTCTCTCGTCCCAAAAGAATGGTGTAATTACTGTTTGGAAAATCAAACAGTAACATTTTGAAATATTCTTAATAATAAAAGTTAGATTTATAGTACTTTTTATGTAGTTTTTAAATTTGCAAATTCTCCCTCAAAATTAATAAGAAGTTGATGCCAAATTCACACTAAAAATCAGAAGGTTGAACCTCGTATTCTCATCCCCACCATTCTTTTTGTGACACGAGGAGTACTTCGAATACTCACCGTACTGGGGAGTATGATATACTACAGCATGAAACATTTTATTTTGAGATGTCAAAAGGCAGAAATAATAAAGAGATGAAGCCTGTACATTAAGTCCACAGCCATGGCAGGAGGAAACCATTTCTTCAGTCGATCATATTTGGCAATTCCCTGAACAGCTGTCACTGGTATCACGAAGAAGATGGTAAGAAGTGATGCTGCAACAATTATCACTATCCTGTACAGTGGCAAACGACGATATTGAACTGCCAAATTTTGCCAGATCACATCTCTCGGTTCTGGAGCCACTTCAGTGATCCAGAGGAGTGGATTTGTGTGCTGTTGAGATTGGGCAGCTAGAACAGCGCCCCATCGTGAACTAAATGTAACAAAAGCCACAGGCAATTCCTAAGAAATAAAAGTATGGCCAAGTTAAACAAATTGTTCAACTGTTAAAAGATCATTACAGAATCATTCCATGACCAGTTATAAGATAACAGACAAATCCTCATGAACTTTGTTAGATCTCCAACCACAATCTCAATAGCATGCAAATGGATGACAACAGATAATATTTTCCTCACTCCTATTTAGATGGAAAATTCACCAAATGACCTAGACATATACCTCAATATGTCAGGATATCATGGTGGCTAACTCATATGAGGTCAAAATTGCAACTGAAAGACTGAAGCCTTGCTAACATTTCCAGGCCCATCTTCACAAGTAGCAAGCAATAAGAGATAATTTCCTGAACAAGCAAAATATATTTTTGATATCAACCAATCAATCTAACCCCAATCTCAAACTAGTTGGATCGAACATAAGTCATCTTTATACATCCCGTTCTATTCAAACCCATTTCATTCCAACAAGGTAATTTGTTCTGTAAAGCAATATAAGAGTTCTCCAAATCGCACACCTATGCCTAGATATATACAAGTTCTAATCTTAAAAAAAGAGAAGTTCTAACCAGAATAACAAAAAGACTTCTCAGGGTATATCAGACCTAAATGTAAATGTAATAACAACTAATTCATAACCAAAAAGTTACTACTACTATATAGATCCTCTATTGTGTTCTATATTAGCTAAGGCTGTATTGATTCCGAGAGATTGTCGATATCTTGAAACAAGTTTCCTTCAATGATTTAAAGGTTTACCCATTTCTTTATATCATCTTCAATCACCATAGAAGTTGATATAGAATGAGCAAACCACTCAAACAAAAGATAACTTTTATTTACCAGAGTCAAAGAAGAAATACCGAATAGAAGATGTTCGCGGTACTTCCGGAAACAGAATAACTAGTCTAGAATTCCTTTCAAAAAGTTCAGCAAATTTCTTGGCAGAAGCCTATGTTGCACTAAATAGAAATCCAAATCCTAATGAACACACCAATTGCAAGAATGACCTTACTCAATTGACAAAGATGAAATACGGAGAAGCAAAAATGATAAGTAGATGTGACCAGTAACTGACTGGCAGGGAATGCAACAAGAGCAAAGCCCCACAATGTAGCTCTCAATGAGCAAAATATCGACATTCTAAAAAGTACGAAGTTTAGCAACTGAACATCAGAAAGATAGCCCTCCCGGCCTTATATTTGCTTTAGTTTAAATTGCGTTTGCATTAACAATTTTTAGTGCCTCTGGGCCTTTGTATTTAAGCGACACTTCTTGCTCCGCAGGACATCAGATCAACGAACTCAATTATGAAACTCTAGTGACGAAACACACGAGTTAGAAATTAAAATGTAGAAGGTGTGTGATTTGACACTAAATGCAGTTAATAATTTCAAGCTTCCTTGAAAATATCTTAATCCCAGAGTTCCTCTTGTAAATGAGTGTGGCACACAGCAATATGAGACAAACCTGAGAAACTACACAATTACTTCAGGTGGTCTTGAATAAAATCGAGATAGCATTTTTAGACTGCCATATGATCATTGATATCAATTGCTGATGAAAGCAATAGCAGGAGTTACCAGCAAATATAATACTCTTAGCTTGTGACCGGGCAGCACAAGCTCCGGATAGAGACCATACTTTATCTATCAGGTCCCATTCCCTTCTGCCCCTTTCCATCATCATTATCATGATCGATAATGAATGCAAAGTTCACTCTAGAATTTTCCTTATCTTCTATGGATTACACAATTTAACACAGTTCTCTTTTAGATATATCTGATCTTGAACTTCCTGACTTCCCAGGGTTTCCACTGCCTAACTAGACTTCTCATTCATCGGAAGTCAGGGCTAAGAGTTATCATGAGTTAACTCCGGCTTATCTACTAAAGGCTGTAACTTTGAACTCAACTCTAAAGGAAAGGAAGTGACTTCAGGGTTGGAACATCAGAGCGGAGGCGGGCATAGAATCTATGAGTGTTTGAATTGAATCCCTTGGGACTTGAAACTGAATCTTAGTCTGCCAACTACCGACTCCTTCCGGAATTGCGTTATCGGAGCTGAGCCAGGAATGGCCGTTAGTGGACATCCACCACTTTTCACCGGTTAGAGAGGCCCTCTTTAATACATTAAGAAAAGATGTTCACAGGGGCCAGAAAGACTCGGTCATAGGAATTTAGCAGACTTAACCTATTACCCCATTTTATAAACTAACGATGAGAGCTAAGTGATTACTGTGCTAGGCTGGACTTCTTTGACATATTAAGAGAGTAGGCACCACACAGACTGAACACAAAAGCTGCAGGGAACTGGAGCAAGTATATCTGAAAGGGAAAAAATAAAACAATGCTAGCAAAACTTGCTGAACTCCAGTACTGTCATTACCATCACAAACTTTTGCTGTGAACACTAACCTTCTGCTCAATCGTCATTCTGCACTGTATACGCCTTATTTCACGACCAAGGGTTTGAAGCATGTCTTCCAGCTGCTCTATTTTAGCATCATATTTCCATGCATCAGATGCAGATGAGTTTCTACTATATTTCTTAGTAGAAGAAAGATGCCTCAGGTCCTCAATCTTTTTGGTGAGAGACTTTGCCTGGCACTAGGATCCATACCATCTGTCAGTATCATTATGAGGGTAAAATGTATAAAAGCTGAATCACAGGGAAAGAAATTCTAATAGAAACACATATGATTTTCAACAGATCAACATCAATGCAGAGTACCTTCTTTTATTCTCTATCCTTACCCCTTATCTTCAAGGAATAGCATAAATCTATGTAGTACTATTTCTTTTTGCTAATCACTGAAGCAGGCTGGTATATCTGGAGTGCGATACTACTATGAGTCGCACATTTCTTTCCAAGGGTATAACTTACAATTATGAGTTGCATTTTAAAATTTATCAGTCATACAGTTGTATAGCAAATTAATGCCTGCCTTTCAAATTTATTGTTGTGACTTGACTTGAGAGAATCATTAAGACACAAATAACGCGGACTAATTCATAGAGCTGGAAAGGAACATCAAACAAGGAGCCCCCGTACTCTACTTTGTATTCTTGCATTACAGAGACGTGTCAATTATTTGAAGAGTGAAAAGGGAATGACTTTTCAGTTATATTGGACCAGTAAAGCTGGAAAATAACAATAGAGTCCTCATTTTTGATTGGTGGATATTATCTAGATAAATGATAAATAAACTACAACTAGTTCGAGATAAAGGCAGTACTTCTGCTGAAACTTAATTCTTAAGGAACTAATAGAAAACTAGCTAATGGAAATAACTTGAATGCACCAAGTGTAAATTTGTTCTTACTAGTAGCTTATCCAGATGTTTCCCATCATATAAAATTTGAAAAGACTCGTATGAATATGGATGATATTTGGAAAAGAAGTGGTCTACGCTGCATCCACGAGTCTTGTGCTCATTGCAAAGTGGAATTTCTCGAACCAGAATGGTGAATTGATCAGGTTCACTCCTTCTATTACATAGCTGCTGAACCCTTTTGAAAAGAAGGTCATTGTACTCCTGAAGAGGCCATGGAAAAAAATTTCATGTCATACAACTTCATGCATTACATGCAACACCAGAAAAAAATATTAAAAATATGAAGTATAAACAGTTGTATTTCATGACCAATAACTTCTTTTTTCCCCAAAACATTTTTTCACCAATTCGCAGACATAAACAATTCCAAGTCTGAGAGATCGCCAACTAGAAGCTTCTTTTTATATATGATCTGAAAAACTGTTTATAAAGAAATTAGAAAACTAACCCAGATATTAGCATTTACTGCCAAAAAAAAAAGAATTATGAAACCAATACATCTACGAAGCAAACTGCCATTAAAGACGGAAAACTTTTCCGAACTTAACAACTTGTCAACATTATTAACAAGCAATAACAGTCCAAAATTATTAAAGCATGAATTTAAGAGTACTAGCTAGCCATTACCTGGTAAAGTAGGTACATTCCATAACACGAGACAAAGCACAAGAAAGAAAAATGCACCCAAAGCCTGTGAATGACAGAATAAATGCAAAAAATGAGTCCATTTTGTAAGAACTTAACAATCCACGCATATAACAGACAACATACAACTAAAAGACAAGAATGAAGATGGTTATTGGCTACAAAACTTGATGGTATCCGAATGGCTAAATACCAGAAAAAGATAATTTAAGAACTCTGTTAAATTAAAAATGATAAAAAATATACGAAAATTTAACATCTCAGTTCCTACTAGGTATGTTATCACACCTACAGGCTGGATTTCAAGAAAATTAATTAACAATTCCTCCTTTCATTTGACTTCTATTTCTCCATCACAATGAATATCAAACATTAACATTCCACGTCTTCTAGAAACCCTTTTCATTGGCAACACTCCTTATTCCAGGGATGCAGCAAAGAACATGAGGAACTTCTACAAACATGGGTTACGAGCCCCAAATTTGTTTAAGAAGCAAAGAGAAGCAAACATGGGTTACTTCTACCTCAAAAATAAGTCTCAACTCCTTAGCTAGATGGTCAAGTGCTTCTCCAAGCTGACTGAAAACAAAACTTAATTTGTGATTCCTGCCTTAAACCATTTAAAGAAACTTGGTTCTTTAATAGCTTGCGTATGCTGCATTTCTTTCTCCAGGTTCTCTCGTAAGTCGCTCTCACAAACTTAAAAACTTGTATCAGTCCCCATCGACCAATATGAACTTGTTTTCACATTGTTGGATATTCAAACATCTCATGAGAGGTACCTTTTAAGTTAAGAGTCGAAAAAGGGGTGTTTTAAGAGTAAGTACTGAACATGCCCGCCTATTTTAAACCTGTAGCTCCTTAAGGATCTTGTCTGAAGTCTTTGAGCCAAGAGAATACGGAACTATCTCCCTCAGTTGAACCAAACTTACTGCTTCCCTTTCTTGCATTAATTCAACTCTAAAACTTTTCAGAATACAAACTTAACTCTTCAAACGCATATCTGAACATTTAATGATCATGTCCAGAATCTTAACAATTATAGAAAACAGCTGTACAGATTTTGTTACAAGAAATGATGGACTCTGCAATTGTATTAAAATTAGCGTTCAACACATAGAAATTTTGTGCTGACTTATGAACCTGTCGTAGGACTGATAAACCAGGTTGTAGATAACACGAGCTAAAGCATAGATGAGATATGTTATCTGCATGAAGCTGCAGAAGTATACAAGTAGCATTGGGAACATTACCTGTCAGAGCCACTGCTGATATTAGATATTGTGAAAGCATCCATGGAATGAGAGCTCGTATTTGGTACAGTACTCCCAGTATAATTTAGTGGGACAAGTACCAGAACTCCAACAATAGAACAAACAACAAAGAATCTGATCCTGAGAAACAGTTTCAAGTAGAAATGTGAGTTCAATCTTTGCATGCCACTGATAATAATTGAAGGCATAAGTTTGGATTGATAGGAAAATGTGCCTTTAGCCAGAGATGTTCACATGTCACAGAAAAAATTTATACTCTTTCACTTCTCAAGATCTGCAATCCTATACTTTGCACAAACACCATTGCATTTAGGTGAGATCTCGACATACGGAGCTTTACTTTATAAAGAAGCTTATACCTAGAAAAATTCTCATGCATGAGAAAATATTGGTGAAGGTAAATCTTTGTATGAAGTTAAAACTCCGACAGTAATCAGCCAGAGATCAACATATACCAGAACAATCTAATACGCATGCTATAAGCCATTTTTACTGCAATTTTCTCTTAAATATAATGAAGTTGAAGTCATCTCATAAAATGTAAGGCATCAAGTTGCAGAACAGCGCAGATTGTTGAAGTAGTATATAAGGTAAAGTCCAATGTGTATGCATTTGCAGATGATATCGTCACTTTAACTACCAAGGGTGTATCAGCCAAAAGTTTGAAATATGAAGAAGCACTCTATGAGGCTAATGCTGAGTTAAGAGCATATTTGTATTTTGTTGATGTACATTGGCAGTACTTCCATGGTACTTGACTTAATAAAATTATTGTCCACAAAAAAAGAGTAAGGTTTTTAGGATAAGTAGAATTAAGAGTATAGTATGTGCAGTAAAGTCTAGCTAGCATAGAGCGAGTGAAATTGTGGTAAAAAGATTCATATAGTCAACCACAACTAGTTTGTAATTCCAGGTTTAGTTTTGCTATCGTACTCTAATAGTCTAGCCACCCCAACTAAACTAGGATACACAAATTGAGTTGAAAAGAGTTTCAAGGCTGCCACGTCTGTCTGGTCTTCATTAACAATAAATAAACCTCTATTCACCAGTGTTTCTCTAATTTTTTGTCCTCTCCAAATATATATGTGTAACAGAGAAAGTTTATCCATAGTACACTCCTTTTCATACATGAGAACTAAAAATAAAAAGGTATCAAGGATCAACTATGAGAATGTAAAACAATAATTAGAATAACACTCCAAATAAAACAATTCACATATAGCTCTCACTAAATAACAGGAGGACTGACCCAAATTTGAGGAGTCTAACGAAGACGAGGACATCAAGGCCACAGTTGTCGAGAATCTCCTCCTCTGTAACCCGAACCGCACGAGAAATCCAGTTCAGCTCCGGAAGCAACCGCCGGAAACTAAAAGATTGGTGGTCGGTACGGTGGCCAAGTGAGAGGCGGCGAGCATAATAAACGGGGGCGTAGAAAGGCTGCTTTTTCAGTATGGAGAAAAGAGAGAGAATCAAAATAGCTAAGCCTATGTTAATGGCTGCTGAAACCACTAAACTCTCTGCCTTCATTTTAATTTGTTCTCTCTTATTATTTTCTTTTCATTTTCATTTTCATTTGTCTGATCTCTTCATTTTCGCTCAGAAGAAGCAAGCATAGCTGAGGGGCGTGGGGTTGAAGAAAGAAGGGGGGAAGGTGGCACATCCATGAATACGTGGCAAAGGCTGAGAGATCGACGTAAACACCCCATGCTTAACTGCTTGTGACTGGTGACTATTTCCGTGAATAGACCTCGTAAGCTTTTTTTAAAAATAAAATTAGTCTTAGGAGTCTAGGGGTGTTCATACAAAATCCGAAAAATCGAATCAAATCGACCAAATAAATCGATATTTTTAAAGTTTGGTTTGATTTTGGTTGTAAATTTTAAAAACCGATCAAATTTGATTTCATTTTGGTTTAAATAAAAAAATAACCGAACCAAACTGACTATAGAAATAGCTATTTAAATTATTATTTATGCCTATATATATGTATATTTTTATATAAGGTTTCTAAAATTTTATGGTACATATTAGTCATTTGTATTTTGAGTCTAGTTTTTTGCTGTTATAATAATCTACTGTAATTCTTTGCTTTTACATTCTAGTTTGAGTGGTAGTTTTCTTTTGCTAAGTACAAGAATTTATTTTTTGTTAAATATAATCAAGTTTTAATTGAGTAATTAAACTATTCATCACTATTTGATTCAATTATCATCAATATATTTTGGTAAATGATAGATTTCTCAAAGAGCAATTGGTTTGATAGTGTCACGTTGAAAATGTAGTCGGCGGAATATGTGTTTGGTAGTGTATGTCTCATATTTAAGAAAAAAAACCCGATAAATAACCGAAAAAAGCGAAAAATTGACAAAAACCGACAAAAAACGAACCGATAAAAAACCGATTTAATTGGTTTGGTTTGGTTCCAATATTTAAAGAACCGACTTACTCGGTTTGGTTTCTTTTTAAGGAAAAACCGATCCAAACCGAACCATGAACACCCCTACTTAGGATAAGTTGTTTGCACGTATATCTATATTAATTATTCGACACTTGCATTGCACGTGTATACTGAATTATATAATACACTATTTTTCTTTCACCCCACCACAATCATCGCTAATAAATAATTTTTATCCCAAATTCTCTTCTTTCTTTTCCATGAACAAAGCAAAAATAGAGATCGATTCGTATTTAATTACCATGGCAGCCACTTTATTTATGAGTTGTAAGTCTCAAAGCCCCCTACATACGGATTGAGATGATAAAGGACAACAATATGACCCTTTAATTTTGATGAAGACACTGACATTGTACCCCTCACGCAGCAAAGAATAATAGGAGAAGAGCTTTCAATATAATAAATAATTGTCCAAATATATTTGAAAAGATCTAAATATATAAAGAGAATGAATTCGAAATGACAACAAAGTGCCGGTTATCTTTGAGTTGTATATGAAGAGGTAATACTATGTGTAGTGTTGACGTCAAAATTTTCTAATTATTTTGCGTTGATTCATCATGTCGAATACTCCCTACATCCAGTATCTTATCTATGTGTTTCTTATTGTTTTTTCTCTATTATAAAGAGCATACTTTGCTATAATGACAATAATTTATCTGTCAAACCCACGAAATTGGATGGAATCACGAAACAACAGATAATTACAAAAATGATGATACACTTTTATTAAGAAATATATTTTTAAAATATTACGCTTTGTCTGCAACAAATTTTACACGTAAAGAGACCAAAAAGTAAGAACACCATATAAAATAAATTTTTACACATTATTAGAGTACACCATCTTCGAATTCTATCTCAAATTAATTTTGAACCATTGATTTATTTGTTGCTTGGCTGATCTAATGTAACCAGAGTCACCAGACCACCAAATTATAAAGAACATTTTTCTTTGTCTTTGCAATGGGTCAAAACAATTGAAGTACGGTCATATATAGGATTAGAAAACAAACTTTTACATTTCCAAATATAAAAAAATTTATACAGAAAACCAACATGCATCAAAAGAATTAGAAGTAACATACATCTGACTAAAATATAAGATTAAAAATTTAAATTAAACTCAAGTTACATGAATAATTTTTTCGGCAGATGATCGATTTTTGGGATGTGAAATCTCATATGATCCTTTCTTGTATCTCGTTTCTATGTATACTACATGCATGTGAGTGATTGCCATTGGTTAAAGGCTCAAGGAGTGTGATGAATATTATCTTCTTCCCCTTACATAATCTGGATCAGAAAATCTAGTCCTTCAAATCTATCAAAAGAGGTCCAAAGACAAAAGGGAAAAAGAAATTCTAAGAGGATGTTGTGCAACTAAAATACCATGATATATATGTCAATATTGATGATATGCACTTGGGCAATTCACGTGCAACGGGTTTCGGTTTGTACTTGAGATAGAGTTTATCTGGGCGACCATTTTGCTTGGCAATCGAATATTTCTTTCACGAATAGAATAGAGATATGAATTGTATAAGACAAATGAATAATTATAGATCAGACTATCATATAAAAAAAATACAAGAAGAAGTTGCTCATGATCCTCTTGAGTCTTGAGTGACTGAAATGCTTTAGTCGTGATTTTGCAACGTATAATGAGTACAATAATAGAATTAGTATTAAGTAACATTGACTGTAAGAAAAATTGATGATTAAGGGGAATGTTTCTTTAGTTGTTCGTTTTCATAATAGTTGTGACTTTTCGGATTGTAGTAGTCTAAACCCAACTTTTACGGAGGTGGCTTTTGGATATTTCAAATATAAAACAAAATGTAAAAACTTAAGGAAAAAGATAAATAGATCAATTTACATTTTTGTACAAAAAGGTCACTAGAGTAGTTGTATAGGGAAAAATACGACATGACACGTGGCCGCTTAAAGGAAGGACACGTGGAACCCAACATGAGGATGGCCACCGTACGTAGCTATTTCGCCTGTCACCGGAAGGAATAACGATCATAAAAGGAGTATTAAATACTTTGCGCCCGGTAACATTTAATACATAATATTTAGCAGCATTAAGGACGATGGCTCGTTACAAGGAATTTGGCATTTATGTCTACCGTTACATCTTCATCAATGGCCCTCATAATTGGCATTAAAAAAGGGCATGATCCTAGGATCTCCTTCCCTAGACATAGCTATATATAGGGAGCTCAGTTATCATTGTAAAGGACAAGAATTTTCTGGCTAACTTACACTACGTTCTATAAAGAATTTTAATAAAATTTTGCTTTCTCGCTTTTTTGATCTCATCGTCATTGTGCCCAGAAACCCTGCTCCCAGACTCATCAGCTCTGTCGTTTCATCTACATTTTAAGGCTAAGTATTTTATATTTCATCAGTTATTTTATTATTTTTTGGATCAAAATAATTCACTTGTCTAGAAATCACGAACAAATTCAACTGTATCGTTTTACGGGTAAACAGTTTGGCGCCCACCGTGAGGCCTAGACAGCCGTGTAATTGAGTTGATCCTTGCCTTTTTTTACTAACAAGCTTTATTTTTTTGTCTTAGAAAAGATCACAAAAAAATGGCAGACATTACTGTTAACAACACTCACAATCCTGAAATTCGAGGAGATCAACCTTATTTCGAGGATTCAATCAGTGACACCAACAACAAGGAGAATGACGTCACGCCGGTGTGTGACAGGTAATATCCTCGACATGTTCGGGAAACAACTCCGTATGATGAAGCTTTGATTGTTTTATCTTAGAAAAGATCACAAAAAAAGGTAGACAATACTGTTAACAACACTCACAATCCTGAAATTCGAGGGGTTCAACCTCATTTCGAGGATTCAATTAGTGACACCCACAACAAGGAGAATGATGCCTCACCAGTGCATGACAGGTAATATCCTCGACATATTCGGGAAACAACTCCCGATGATGCTGATGAAGAGCATGTCGTCCATGCGGTAAGGGTCTTACAAGAGCAACATGCGATTATTCTAGGCCATCTCACACGGCAGGATAAGGTTATGACGGAGTTGAAACAGGCGCTGTCAGGGGCTTCGAATGATGCAAACAGACGAGATCCTCTTCCTCCCGATGTCCCTGCAAACCAAACAATGCAGAGAGTCGACAACAATACTCCTAAGGGTGAAGTTGGTTCCTACGGGGCTAGAGGAAGCGGATCCGGTCTCAACAACGAGAACGACCTGTTCAAGAACAAACTATTACCGTTCATGAAGGAAGTTAACGACCGTGGCCCAGACTCAAAAAAGTATACCCAATTGCCGTATAAACCAAGCGCAGCCCCGGAGTTAATCCCGAAGCGGTTCAAAATGCCCGAAGTGCCAAAGTATGACAGAACTTCAGATCCGCAGGAGCACATTACTACCTACACAACAGCGGTGAAAGGAAATGATTTGGCTCCTCGCTAAATTGAATCTGTGCTGCTAAAGAAATTTGGTGAGACCCTCACGAGGGGAGCTTTATTACCCGAGCATTCCATAGATTCCTTTGAGATGCTCGTAGATTCTTTCATCAAGGCTCATGCCGATGCCAGAAAGGTACAAGCCCGAAAGGCCGACACCTCTGGGAAGAAGTGGCAACACAATTAAAGAATGCTCACTTCAGAGAATTCTTGAGTGACCGAGCTAAAAACAATTTTAGTGGAACAGGAGCGACGCGGAATCCTTAAAAGCAGGAGAAGAACCCCTACGCCAAACGATCAACATGATCTTCGGAGGCAATGAGATTAATGGGTTCACCTTTTTGGTAGCAAAGAAGACAAAAGTATCAATAACTCATAGTAAAAGGCTCCGGGAAGAAGATATCACATTTACAGACGAAGATGCAGACGAATTGCTGCTACCGTAATGACGCCTTGGTAATTTCTTTAAATGTGTTAGACTTTAAAATTAAACGTGTTTTAGTGGATCCAGGAAGTTTAGCTAATATCATAAAATGGAGAGTACTGGAGCAAGCTAAACTCATCGGAAGCATTAACCCGACAACGAAACTCCATACTGGATTCAACCCCGCAAGCGTGACTACCAGGGAGAAATTTTGTTGCTTACAAACACTGAGGGAGTAATGAATGCAATTTCGGTCTCCAGTAGCAAAGATAAGGAACGTGCGGCATAGCAATTACTGGAACCGACACTTGCCCCCAAACTAGAGGAAGTTAGCTCGGGGACTGAAGAGTCGGAACAATATCAGGTACCAAGGTATTTTCAAGTACCAGAAGAGACGGACGTGATGAAGTCCGCAGCAGAAGAATTAGAGCAAGTTGCGTTGTTCAAAGAATTCCTAGAATGGAAATTCTATTTGGTAACAGGACTACACCCGGAGTTAAGGTCTGCTTTTATTGAATTCCTTAAAATTAATGCCGATTGTTTTGCATGGTCGCACGGGGAATTTTTTTTTGTAATTTCGGTCTCCAGTAGCAAAGAAAAGGAATGTGCGTCATAGCAATTACTGGAATCGACGCTTGCCCCCAAACCGGAGGAAGTTAGCCCGGGGACAGAAGAGTCGGAACAATATCATGTACCAAGGTATTTTTAAGTACCAGAAGAGACGGACTTGATGAAGTCCGGAGCAGAAAAATTAGAGCAAGTTGCATTGTTCAAAGAATTCCTAGAATGGAAATTCTATTTGGGAACAGGACTGCACCCGGAGTTCAGGTCTACTTTTATTGAATTCCTTAAAATTAATGCCGATTATTTTGCATGATCGCACGGGGATATGACAGGAATCTCGAAGGAGATAGCCATCCGTTAAGGCAAAAGAAGCGGCCTATTGATGAAGCAAGGTATAAATTCGTCAAAGAAGAGGTAACCTGTTTACTTAATATTGGTTCAATCCGAGAGGTAAGATATCCGTATTGGCTAGCCAATGTAGCAGTAGTTCCTAAGAAAAATAATAAATTTCGCAGGTACGTAGATTATAAGGATCTTAATAAGGCGTGCCCGAAAGACTTGTTCCCACTGCCAAATATCGATCAAATGATTGATGCCACGACTGGGCACGAGTTAATGAGTTTCCTCGATGCTTATTCTAGGTACAATCAAATCAAGATGAACCCGGAAGACCAAGAAATGACTTCATTTATAATGAATTTTGGTACATATTGCTACAATGTGATGCCCTTCGGGTTAAAAAACGCTAGAGCCACTTCTCAACGGCTCGTGAATAAGATGTTGAAAAAACAAATAGGAAAGACTATGGAAGTATATATAGACGATATGCTCGTTATGTCTTTGAATGCAGGTGACCACCTGCAGCATTTGCAAGAAACATTCAACATCCTGAGGGAGCATAATATGAAACTTAACCCCGAGAAGTGTGCACTCGGGGTCAGTTCGGGTAAGTTCCTAGGATTCCTAGTCTCACAAAGGGGAATTGAGGTAAATCCTGACAAAATCAAGGCCATAGAGGACATCCCGGTTCAATTGTCTAACGTAAAAGAAGTCCAGAGGCTCATAGGGAGATTGACAGCTTTGAGTAGGTTCATTTTCCGATCATCAAAAAAATGCCATCGCTTCTTCGCACTACTCAAAAATAAAAACAATTGCGAATGGACACCAGAGTGTGAGCAAGCCTTGAAGGAGTTGAAGAAATATTTGTCAAGCCCTCCGTTGCTCTCAAAACCAAAAGAAGGTGAAACATTGCTAGTCTACCTCACGGTTTCAGAAGTTGCGATAAGTGCAGGTTTAGTCCAAGAGGATAAAGGTACGCAATCTCCCATTTATTACATTAGCAAAATTTTAACGGGAGGAGAAACTTGCTACCCACATCTGGAAAAGCTGGCCTTAGCTCCCGTAGTCGCCGCTCAGAAGCTGAGGCCCTACTTTCAATGCCACCCGATAGCTCTGGTGACTACTTTCACTTTGAGGAATATCCTCCATAAACCCGATCTCTCGAGTAGATTAACCAAATGGGACGTCGAAATGAGCAAGTTCGATATAGAGTATAAACCGAGGACTGCAATTAAGTCGCAAGTCTTGGCTGACTTCGTGGCCAATTTCAGTCCGGGACTATTGCATCTGGCAGCCAAGGAGGCAATAATGGTGTCAAAATCGACATTGGGAGTTTGGTCCTTATTTATGGACGAAGCTTCAAACGTAAAAGGGTCCGGGCTCGGAATAGTCTTGATCACGCCTTCGGGGGAACCTTAAGGCAAGCCATCAGAACACTTCCTTTAACTAACAATGAAGCAAAGTACGAAGCTTTGATTGCAGGGCTCAAATTGGCCCGAGGGCTTGATTCCGAAGTCATCAAAATCGAATGTGATTCGCAATTGGCGGTAAATGAGGTCTACGGAATTTTTTTCACCAAAGAGGAAAGTATGCAACAATACGTGGTAAAGGTTTAGCCTTTATTGGCACGATTCCAGTAGTGGTCAATTACTCATATCTCGAGGGAAGATAATGCGGAAGCAGATGCATTGGCAAATTTGGGCTCATCGACAGAAATCCAGGGACCAGAATCAGGGACGGTAGTACAACTGATGAACTCAATCTTGGACACAGTTGGTTACTATGAGGTGAATTCGACTAGTTTGGTCTGGGACTGGAGAAACGAAATAATCGATTATCTCGAGCATGGAAAGTTGCCCAAAGTCCCCGAAGCATCAAGAGCATTACGCGCCAAAGCTGCACGTTGTAGCTTCAAGAAAGGCCAATTGTACAGAAAATCCTTTGAAGGACCATTGGCCCGGTACTTAGGAGCATCAGAGGCTAACTATGTCATGAAAGAAGTACATGAAGGGATATGTGGCAACCACTCGGGTGCAGATTCTTTGGTGCTGAAATTAGTTCGGGCAGGATATTACTGGCCCCGTATGGAACAAGATGCCAAAGACTTCGTACGAAAATGTGATAAGTGCCAACACTACGTACCACTAGTACAACAACCGGTAGAACCCTTACATTCAGTTCTGTCCCCGTGGCCGTTCATGAAATGGGGGATGGACATCGTCGGACCGCTACCACCGGCTCCTGGAAAAGTAAGGTTTCTTTTGATTTTGATTGACTATTTTTCTAAATGGGTGGAAGCAAGTCCTTATCAAAAGATCGGAGAACACGAAGTGGTCGACTTCCTGTAGGAAAATATAATTTGCAGGTTTGGAATACCAAAAGAGATTGCATGCGACAATGGGCTGCAGTTTATCGGCGCAAAAGTTACAAAGTTCCTTGAAGATAAAGAGGATCACCTATTCACCGTATCATCCGAGCGCAAATTTTCAAGCGGAGTCACCAAACAAAGTGATTATTCAGAATCTCAAGAAAAGGTTGGAAGCATCAAAAGGCAACTGGCCCGAAGAATTACCTGGCATTCTATGGGCCTACCGAACAACGGAAAAATCAAGCACTGGAGAAACCCCTTTTTCCCTTATGTACGACGCAGAAGCTTTGATACCGGTGGAAGTAGGGGAACCAACCTTAAGGTATTTTAGGCGGATGAAGAATCAAACAACGAAGAAATGTTAATCAACTTGGAGCTGCTCGAGGAACGCAGGGACTTGGCACATGTAAGAATGGCGGCTCAAAAGCAGGGAATGGAGTGATACAATAATCAAAGAGCTAATTTCTATTATTTCAAAGTGGGAGATTTAGTTTTGAGGAAAGTAACTAAAAATACCCGGGAGCTTAATACGGGGAAGTTGGGCCCAACGTGGGAAGGTCCTTATCGAATTTCAGCTGTCACTGGAAAAGGATCGTACGAGTTGGAGAACCAGAACTGAGACAAGTTACCAAGAAACTGGAACGTGGCTTACCTCAAAACATATTATTGCTGATGAACATTACCTAAGTGGAAAGTATGTGCTGCACTGCACTCTTTTTTCTTCGTTCAAAACATATAAAGCATACTACGAAGACATCAGCAATAAGATCTCTCACGCCAAGGCTTTACTCGGGGACGGTTAGGTAATCTTTGGATCTATAGCAAATTCTCACTGTGAAGTTAAGTTTGCTATCGGAAAAGGGTTATCCAACCGTTCACGAGAACAAACGACTAGAGGATTGTTAGATAATCCTTCGCTCGATAGGATGAATTCCTAAGGGGAAGTAAGGTGTGTTGCCGAGTTAAGGTTTGTCTAGCAAATCATTGGTGGGATTTTTGAAGACGCAAGACTTCCAGTGTTCCGATTCACATTCTTTGCGTTCGAACACTGTGGGGGGGAATGATATGAGGATACGACAACATTGAATGCCACGTCAAACGGGGAATGAAAATCGAGAAACAGAATACATCATCGGGATCGAGGACTGCACAATCAGCCCCGTAGAAATAAGTTGTACAAGATAGCACACGTAATGGAAATTTCTTTCCAGCATATCAAAATGCTTATGTACTTTTAAAAATAGAAGGAATTAAATAAAATGAAATCCTTTTGTTTTTATCTTGTTTCTTGTCTGAACGATGAATTAATGTTTCCATTTGAAAGTTAAACAAGTACTTCAAATGTTAGTGCCGTAATGAACAGGAGAAGTCCTCTTTAAGAGCAGCGTAAACATAAGGGGGGGGGGGCGTAGAAACAAGTTGTACAAGATAGCCACAAGTAATGGCAATTTCTTTTCAGCATATCAAATGCTTATGTACTTTTGAAAATAGAAGGAATTAAATGAAATGAAATCCTTTTGTTTTTATCTTGTTTCTTGTCTGAACGATGAATTAATTTTGCCATTTGAAAGTTAAACAAGTACTTCAAATGTTAGTGCCGTAATGAACATGAGACGTCATCTTCAAGAGCATCGTGAACATAAGAGGTCCCTCTCTTATGAAATATCTCATGTTAAAGGGTTGGTTTCGGAAGAGTTTTTGCCCGAAATCAAAATGCTTTCGGGGAAAATGCACCCGAAGGACGTATAAGAAAGGACACAAAAGGTAAATTTGCGCAAATACTTATAAAAACCCTCATATAAATGGGGTAATGCATTGCATCCGATACTACACATAGCAAAGTGTGAAATGAAAACGAGCACAAAATTCTTAAGCAAACACAAAGGTTAAAGACTTGCATGGATGTTCAAACGAAAGCGTAAAAAAAATAAGATGAAAGTAAGACTCAAACAATACTTGAGCAAAATAATGTTTTAATTTACAAATGCGTGCAAAAAGTACAAGATAAGGAAAAAGAAAAGAAAAGCTAAACTACAGCATCTCCGGAACCAGGAGGAAGAGAAACGTCTGCATCCCCGGGAGAAGCAGGTGGGCTCACTGATGGCTCAACAATTTCCCTGGCTTGGTCTTCAACATCATCATCTTCCGACTCCTCTCCAGTTCACGAAAACTTGGAACCGGAACCAGAAGAACCAGAAGCATCAGACTGCGCAGGGAGTCCATTTTTAGCATCCAACTCAAGCTCTCGGGCCCTAGCAATTTTGGCATCGAAGTCAAGGATGCCTACTTTGGCATCTTCCAAGGTTTTTATCCTCATGCTATACATGGCGTAAGTTTTTTCAATAATGAGGGAAGCCGCTCAACGCTTGAGTCTATCTTTGAGTTGGGTTACTTCATCAAAGAGCCTATCCCGGACGGACCCAAGGTTGTTGAACTAAAGAGCCTATTATGCTCGATAGTTTTTCTGTACTTCTCTTCCAACTGGGCATACTTTGCCTCCATAGAAGCAAGCTCTTCTATTTTGGAGTTCAAGGTTGCTTCTAATTCAGACACTTTTCCGGTAGTGGCATCCTCGCGCTTGGTTGCAGCAAGAATGGCGTCCTGGACTTCAGCCCATTTGGCCTTGGCTTCATCAAATCAAACCCTCAGCGGGCCAATCTCTTGGTTAAGGGTTATCACTTCTTGCTCGCTTTGCTGCAAACGAGCCTCCAGAACAACAACCTCAGTGGCTTTGGTTTAAAGTTCTGAGAGGCGGAGAACAGTTTGGTCCCGTTATGCTAAAAGATGAATCCATTTAGAAGTAAGTTCTTTTTTCTCACGAATCAACCTCTGTAGGCCCTTGGAAGCAAGAAAATTGGCCTGCAAAACAAGAGAGGTAAAATTTAGTGCAAAAGTCGAAGAAATAGCAAAGGTAGAAAGGGGCGCACCGCTGCAGCATTATCCATGCCATTGTTCAACAAACACTCTCCCAAGACTTCTTGGATCTTTTCCCAATCTTTCTCTAAAGCTAATAGCTTCAGATAGTTAGCAAGCTCCACCGACCTCCAAAGCAGGATGCACCCGGTGGAGACCGAAAGGGTAACACTCCTCATCTGTGGATCTTCAGAAGGGGCAACATGATTTTGCCCCTAATTCTCATGAACTGGGGACTGGGGAAGATGAGTACCCTCTCCATGGTCGGATGCGGCCGGTGGAGATGATGTAGCAATTGATGGTCGAGGAATGGATGCACATGGAAATGATGTAGCAGCTGCTGGTGATGGTGGAGGCGGAGATGAAGCTGATGGAGTCGAAGGATGAGAAGCAACAACACTGAATGCAGTGCTGGTGGGAGGATGCTCTCTAACCAAAGACGGCAAGGATCCGATACTCAGCCCCGCAGTACCGGACATAGCAACTGAGGCCCGAAAATGGGAATTGGCATTATCTACCAAGTCACACTTTCCCCACAATGCCGGGACGTCGTCCTCGGTTGGTGAAACTACTTCAACAGGTCGAGCATCCTGTTTAGAATACGATCAATCATCAGAGTGTCTATGGACAGCCTAGAAGGAGAACCAGTCACCATCGCCACCGGAAATGATTCGGGGGCATCAGTCTTTGCCCTCTTATTATTTTTCCCGGCTGCAGAGGAACGTCTTCTCTTTGGTTGCTTGTTCTCTGGCTGGAGACTCCGTGAAGAAACGTTTGTGCCCGAAGCAAGCCTGGAGATGCCTGTTCGAGTAAGTGCCTCCTAAAGCAGCCTCGCACATCAGCAGGGTCAGCCAAAACATCCTCCTCGGGGACATCAACTGAGCCCGCAGGTAGACCTAATGTCATCAACAAATTTAGGAGGGTTCAACCAAACTTTTCACATAGAAAACGAAAACAAGGTAAATTGAAGTTACCATGATTTTTGGCCCTCCACCCGTACTTAAGGGACAGTTCTTTCCATAAGCGAGTTTCGGGCGTCGTAACGTCCAAGATCTTTTGAACCCACCAATCCAAGCCTTCTACCACCAGTGGGATCCATCGAGTTGCTGTATAAACGAAGATTGAAGGATCAATACATGCATGAAAGAATATTTAGTAAGAGAAAATATATTAGAAATAAATTTTACGAGTACGGTTCCAAGTGCTCGGAAAGGATGATGTCGTTGATAGAATGATATTATTGGTGGCAGTTGCAACGAACCGTTCCGTCCACCCACGGCCGTTGTCATCATCCATGCTAGTCAACAGAGCAAGGTGGCCACGTTTGTAGAGGTTTATCATACCTCCCCGGAAAATCTTGGGGGAATAAAGGTTCATCACACAAGCTAATGATATCTCTTCCCCAGTTTCCTGACACAGGCGTCGAAGGCTGGCAACCGTCCTCCATACTGAAGGGTTTACCTGTACCAAGCACACTTAGTAGCGAAGGCAAAATTCCGCAATCACGGGATCAAGCTCTCCGCTCAAACAAAACGCACCCAAAGTAAAGGGATACATATAAAAATATGTAAATCCTTCCCTGGGAAGGGTCACTTGCTCCGATAGGTCAGGAGCAATGATGTCCAAATCATGACGACGACAATCTTCCTTCATAGTTGGAATACTGGAAGGACGGATGGAAGAAAGATACCTACTAACAACCCATGTAATAGAGTTAGCAGTAGGAAATTATTCTTCAAAATCCTTTGTGGTGTTAAGTTTCCTTGGGATGATGGAACCCACTATCGGAGGAGTAGAATCCTCGGTTTTGTTCTTGCCCTTTAAAGAACTAGGACATTTTGAAGAAGAAGCCATTGGAGTGGAAGGAAGGAAAGTTTTTGGTTCGAAGAGTATTAGAGAAAAGTTGGGAAATAAAGATGCAAGTTAGAAGTTTGAGAAATTATGAAGTACATAAGAGGAGGATGATGCATATAAGTAAAGCTTTGGCGGCTAAATTCATGGCCATGATTGCCTCGATAAATGGCAAAAGCTATGCTAAATCGTGGGTTGACGCGTGCCCGGAGCATTAAATGCTGAGAGACGTGCGTCTAATCAACCGTCAGATGACTGTAGAGGGAGTTCTAGTAATTCCCGCCAAAAGAAGTATTTTTACCAACTTCTCGGTAACACAAGATTGTGTCTGCGGAAAGCAGGGGTACTATTTGTATAGGGAAAAATATGACATGACACGTGGCCGCTTAAAGAAAGGACACGTGGAACCCAAGATGTGGATGGCCATCGAACATAGCTATTTCGCTTGTCACTGGAAGAAATAATGATCATAATAGGAGTATTAAATGATTTGCGCTCCATAGCATTTAATACAGAATATTTTGCAGCATTAAGGATGATGGCCTGTTACAAGGAATTTGGCATCTA